GAATACTTTCGCAAGGCACTGTAAGTGTCATTCAGTCTGATCTGGCTGATCTGGATCTTACCTTAAAGATCATATGGTACATTCATGAGGTTCGTGTGCAGTGTAGTGTATCAGTACTGCCACACTGTCCACAGTACATATTTGAGTTTGAGACAATGGAGGAAACACCACATGCCAAGTATCAAACATCTCCAAAAGGTGCCTAACTTGGACCCTATGACTTTATCTATAAAATATGAATTAATGTTACAACCAGAACATATAGAGAAAAATAAACCCATTCATATTATTTAATCTTAAAACTATATAAATATAAATCTAGTTATATGTATAGGAACAGGTAACAAGTTTATTCCATGCTGAAAAGAAAAGAAAGGAAACACAACTCTTCGGCTGTGAAGCCTTCTTCAGGTGTCCACATGGAATGCTTCCAGCATAGATTAAACTCGTTACCTGTTCCTTTGCAGCCTACGCATGCTGACGCAGCTACCTACTTGAACTAGTTATATATATATACAAATATAACTTGGAGTTATATTTTGAAGAGTTTTGTTTTTATATATTTGAGTCCACATACTGTATAAAAATATGTCTAAATGTTTATGATATTATGCATATTAATGCATATGCACTTATAAGTTTCATTCTTTGTTTCATTTGTTTTAATTTTATTGCAGATAACACAGCTAGCATTTTTGCCAGAAGACGGAAATTTAGCCGAACAACACAAGATTTGTATCATCTGCCAATTGTGATCTCCGATGGGGGTGAACCTAATCTCAGTAGCACGAGTACCCTCACTCTGCGGGTGTGTGCATGTGAACACAATGGGAAAGTAAGAACATGCCATGCAGAAGCATTCCTTTCATCAGCAGGTCTTAGCACTGGAGCCCTTATTGCCATACTGCTTTGCGTCATTATTCTACTTGGTAAGTTTTCCTCAAAACCTTTCAGATGCTTTCCTATGCTTTGTTTAAAAAAAATATCCAAATGGGAAAAAATGTAAGTTATGTTTCCAACAAATGACACTTATAGATGCACTTCCAAACCTGGTTTCTTGTGTGAGCATGAGAAAGAAAGTAAACACGAACAGAAGAAAACACTAACCTTAATGAATTCAGTCTGGAGAACCTTCTAATTACAAGACTGTTCTGATTGTGTGTGGATTGTCTCTGCTTGAAGGTGATGCATATTAATGTGAGGATTGTCATTTTAGCTAGCACTAAAATACAAAGGGTCATTTTATGTTTGAAGTAATGCTATTGTAATTAAAATATTCAAGTTAGGGACTTGATTTGGTCATAAATATCCTTGTTTCCATTCTTCATTTACAGTAATTCATTAAAGGTGTTAATTGTAGGAGGTGTTACAGTTTCTCCCATGCAGTTTGTTAAAATCTGTTTCTTTTACATAATATTGTATACATTTCAATGTATAGAAAAAGTAGTTTACATGAACAAAATCAGATATAAAACCATTGTATCAGATTGTTTTTAAAATAAATATTTTTTTAAAAAATGTGATATTACTCACTTAAGAAAATCTAAAACCATAAAGTTATTTAGATGCAGAAAGTAACTTAGAATTAAAAATGTGTGCCTTTCATGTTTTTGTATGTTAAGAAAAAAGCTTATGAAAGATTAAATGCTATTCATATAGTATGCTAAGTAATAGATGCTATATAATGAATACCTCTACATGATTTACAAAATAGACTTGCATGCATATTCAAACATAAAGTGTTTTATTGTTGTGGCTGTCACATGCATTTCCCTGAGTGTGGAGAATGTGTACAAATGTCATTTTTATAAACCAAATCATTTTCTTTTTAACTCTAAATATGCCACAATACCCATTTCAGGTCTATTATTACCTACAATAGCATGGAGTTTCATGTTGATGGATTATAGCTGACTAAGCAAAAAATATATTTGAAAAATTCTGCACTTTCTTCTGTATCTGAGGTGAAATAAGTGTGCCACCACAAATAAAGAAATATATGTTTTGAACCTAAATAGAAACTGTTAAAACATCCACATTCAAATTAAATCTTGCACTTTATGTACCATAGGTGTGGTATTACATGGAAAAGTTTTTCTCATTTGGCTGTACAGAGAAAAAACATTTTGAATTTAGTGCAAATCTCAAAGGTTTTTCTGTTGCATCCTTTCCTTTGCCATGTTTGGTAGCCCTACTCCCTTTCTTGTAGAAACTCAGCATGCTGTCATACTTTTCTGCTCATTTCCTGCTGCTGTTTCATTAGTTAAGTGACAGCTGGCTATGCTACCTGGAAGCCTTCTCTCTATTGGTTCCTTTTGTACAGTAGTCTTTGAGTTTTATTCCTTGAGCACAGGTTTGCTGTCACACTGTTGTGATAACAGATTCATGGGTCTTTTGGTTATCACCTCTGTTGTTCATCCTCTTTGTTGGTGCAGAGATTTGTCATTAACTAGCCATTCTTAAAAAAATGCAAAAAAATGTCACATTGCTGGAAAGTCCAGGATGGCCACAAGAGAGCAAAGATGGAATTGAGAGTGTATAATTAAACACATTTTACCAACACTCAAAAAATTATTGTCCACTACAAAGGGCGATGACTGTGTCTCAGAGGACAGAGTAGTAAATAAAAACAGAATTAGTAATCCAAACATGTACGAATGAGTAATAAAATTAACATATTATTGTTCAAAGGGGATTATATAAAGTGGATTGTGAACATCTAAACCTAATATAGAATACAAATATTTAGATAAGAAACCATGGACTGACTCATTTGTTTTGTTACTTGTTGATGATTTTCAATGGTAGATTGATTATGGCAAAGCTTGTGAATTATGATTTTTTAATATATTTTTTTAAATCCCTTAAGCTTGTGGATAAAATTGCACAAGTATGAAATGTCAAATGTCAAGATGTTATTTCAGTTACATATTTCACTAGTTCCAAGATTTCAATATGAAATCAAGGACCATACAGGGGGATTTAGATAAAATCCTATTTTCATTTTGCTTTCCTTATCACATCTTAAAAATGTTGCAACCTAAGATCAATTGTCTCTGCTGTTGAGAAATTACTTTTAAAATAATCAAAACATCATAAAATTGTAATAATAATTGTACATGTCATCACAGGAGATAACCCATAAAACTCTTTGTCTTGGCACTGTAGGAGTCCGATTGCTGAGTGCTGAGTATCTTTATAATGCTCAGCATGTGGGAAGCTGATTTTTGACTGCTGTATGCTTTACTACATTAGCTGGAGGTTTTATGAGCTCTGGTGCAATCTGAAAAATATGGATGGATCTCAAAAGATTTCCTCAATCAAACTGAGCAGAAAATCAGTGCTTTTCAATTTGTATTTATATTCATTTTCATTATTATTATTTCATTATTCATGTTCACTTTAATGACTAATAATTTAAGGTTTTTTAGTTGCATGATGTGTGCATGGGTTGCATTGGTATTAGTGATATCTGGTGAATTAATTTAATGGAGAAGTTTAGAGTCTGAATAGTTGATCTCAAGGAAAAATGTATATAAAAGACCTAGTTGCGATCTGATAAAGAAAAAAAAACATGAAGATTTATACATAGATAAAACATTTATATATATATATAACTTTTATATATACTGCATATGCAATGTAATATTGCCTCTTCTTCACCTATAGTAAAAGGCGGCTTGATAGCATGGATAGTACTACTGCCTCATGCCTGTTAAGTGTTGGGTCAAGAGCTCCAGGTTGTTGTGACATGTTCGTTTCACATTCACTTGGAAATGTATGCACGTATTTGCCACATTCTCTAAATAACCTTGTTACACAACCTTTTAACTCTTATATAGTCATATTGATGCCTGAAGCCAACCATACTCCCACCAAAATGACTGCCCTGTTGTTGTCACCTAAACATTTTTGTCAACACTCAAAGTTCTAAAAAAATATAAACCACATTGTGATAGATAAATAAGATTGAAAATCTTGCAAGGAACTTGAAAACTCAATCTTTGTTAAGCACTGCATAAAACTGTCACAAAGCATCTTTCAGGACCCTATACAGACAGCACTAACCAGAAGGGAGTGAGAAAACATGGGGAAAAAAGACTAGGATAGGGGCTGGAAGAATAACAGGAGGCGTGTCCAAGGTGCACTGGTGCTCGGGGGGGAGTGACCAGGGCAAACAAATCCAAGGGAGTCCGTAAGATAAACCAGGGAAAGCCAATGTCCAAAGCCGTGTGATCCATCCTGACACAGACAAATGAAGTTAAAAGCCGGAGCGGGATCCGGCAAAGGGTTGGGGGAAATAAAAGGGGGTTATGGGGCCAGGCGCTCCCAGTCCCGGACCCAGATGGTCAGGACGCCGTTGTGAAGCCTATGCTCCTGGACTTACGGGTAGGCAGGCTTCAGGGCGTCCATCTTCCAAACCTGAGCCCAGATTGGCAGGAACCATCTGTTTTTTATAGGACGGGGGCAGGAACCGGAGGCAGGTGCAGGAGATAGAGAATAAACGAGGAAAGGCTGGAGCATCCTTAAGAGGAGGGGTTTACGATCGTGACACATACATTTACTACCCTTTTCTTGGACATGATTGACATCTTATTTTCCTACATTTAAATTAATTGATCTGAAGGTGTTCTCTTTATGATTTCAAAAGGTATACTTTAGTTTTTTTAACATTTCTAAAAAACAATTTCTGCAAAGTGTATTGTGACACTAGAAATGGGATGCTGTAGCGCTACAATGACTATGTCCAGCAATATGTATCACTTCATTTCCATTTGACATTTCCATTTGATTTGTATTTTTATCACAGTCTTCAAGATCAGTCTTAATTTAGTACTGATAATAATCAATACTAAAAAATCTAAATACCTGGAGAGGCTGTTTCATTTAATTTAAGTTTAATTTAATTAATCTCAAAACAATTCTCCCACTATAAGAATAATTATAAATTGCAGGTTAACCATGAAACATTGAAGGAAACTGATGGGTTTTTTTTCCATTAACTTTTTTACTCTGCATAATCAAGAAGAAACATTAGCATTCAATAAAATCAAATCATAGAGCACTATTATTGCAATAGAGCTTTGTGATTTAAATATTGGGGTTTACAATTAAAAAGATTGTTAACCTTTCTGATTACAGTGTATTGTTTCTTGAGATCATTGCTTGAATGAAAGCAATAAATATATGCAACTTAGCTGTTATGTTGAAATGTTTCATTGCTATGTTATGTCACACCTGGGAGTAAATAGTTTTAACTTTTGAAACCTTTGCTTTTTTCCCTTCTGTAGCAATTGTTGTACTTTTTATCACTCTCAGAAGAAGCAAGAAAGAGCCACTTATTATATCTGAGGAGGATGTTAGAGAGAATGTCGTTACATATGATGACGAGGGAGGGGGAGAGGAAGACACTGAAGCTTTTGACATCATAGCATTAAGGAACCCAGCAGCTGCAGAAGAACTGAAATTCCGCAGAGATGTCAGGCCAGAGGTACAAAGGGTTCCAAGGCAGAGCCCACCTTCAGTCCTGGATAATGTGGATGTACAGGAATTTATTAAACAAAGACTGATCGAAGCTGACCTTGACACTAGTGTTCCTCCTTATGATTCTCTCCAGACCTATGCATACGAAGGGCATGGATCACCCGCTGGATCAATCAGCTCTCTTGATTCAGCAACCACACACTCAGAGCAAGATTATACTTATCTTTGTGACTGGGGACCAGAATTCCAGAAACTGGCAGAACTCTATGGAGAGTCAGATCGAACCACCTAGCTTGTGCTATTGTAAACAAAACCCGTCAGCTAAATAATAAAAAAGCTTTTGAACTGTACTATTTGTTCACGTTTACTAGAGAATCCAGTGCCCTTTTTATTTTCAAACGTGGGTTTTACATGTGCAAGAACAATGCCTGATTTTGAACAATACAGAATAACAGGATTTTTTCCCCTGGTGTATATTTTTTATTGCTAAATAAAGTCCATAGTTCCAGATATGTCATTATGTGATGAAGTGTAAGTAACACATTTTTGAGTTAACATCAGTTTCATTGTTCTGGATAACTGAAAAAAAAAAACACATTTCAAACCATGTCACAAGACTGGAAAATTGCCTCACTTCCTAAAAGTGGTAACAAAGTTTGCACTGAAACAATGAAATATACAATAGCTTAATAAGTGAGATTAGAATAAAAAATAAAAGTTAAAAGTTAAGGGTACAGCATTTGCAGTGCTGTACATTAAATTGAAATTAAGCTTCTGCTCAATTTTATGTCACATCCAGTACACCTAGAGGGCTCTACTTCTGTCCTGTTCCTAGTTCCCTGTGATTATTCATGTCTTTCTGGTGTGTCTTGTTGTGTAGCCTATTTACTTCCTGTTTCTGCTCTGCTCCTTGCTCAGCATTGAGGTTCGGATGTCCTGAGACCCGCCTAGCACCAGGTCGTCTCCTCTGCGCCCTGAAGGCATAGGTTTCTATACGGCATTTCCTGAACAGCTGAGCCCGGGTTAACCCCCGTCTTGCCACTACGCATAGGGTTTTTTTCACTCTCCTGCCATTCTATGGTTCATCCCTTCCGACATCCGTGACATTTCAAGATTAAAGAATTTCATCCACCCATTTTCTAACCGCTTAATCCAACATGGGGACACTGGGAAGCCAGATCCTATCCCAGAAAGCAAGACGGGAAACACCCTGGACAGGAAACCAGCTCATAGCAGGGCATACACAGACACAAAGTCACGCCTGGGTTAGTTTTCACAAAAGCCAGTTAACTTATCAGTATGTCTTTGAACATAAAAACTCCATGCAAATATTACCCCTGGTCTGGAATTTAACCCAGGCCCAAATGCTGCAGGGCAGCAGTGTTAATCACTATGCTATCATGCCGCCCTAAAGAATAGCAATGTATGTAAAATAATTAGCAATACCATTCAAAATTTTGAAATATTTTAAGTATAACATTTTATTTTATTTCACAATATTTGATTTGCTTAAAATATTTTAAAAGCTCATTGATTTTGTTAGAATGAGAATTTAGTGTCACAATCATATTTCTTTAATTATCCCCAAATTTATATTATGCATAAAAGAAAAATGCTGCATTCTGAAGGGAATAAATGGGTAAAGGCATAAAGATGAATCTTAAGCCAACAGTTTATCTGCACTGTAATTATAAATTCTAAAAGAGCTTTTCTAATAATTGCATGCTCAAAGAAATGCATTTCCAGTGATAAATATGTACAAGCACTGCAGTTCAAAAGATAAAAACATATGAGTTAAATGTTAAAAATGTATTCAAAGGGTGTAGAAGATAAGTTGCCTTCAAAATTGGTTCTAAAATGTTTTAGAAGTATTAATGGACCCTTCTTGTCTATAACTGGCTTGAATTCTACTGTGACATATTAACTAAACTTTGTTTATGCTGTGTTACTCTTTGCTTCTGTTTAACACTGAATGATGGGCTTTAAGAATTCTAATATTCTTCTGTTAAGATGAGAAGAGAAAAGTGATATGCTGAAAAAGTAGGAAAGACATCCAACTAAGCACTGCAACAACTACAACTGCAAAAACATCAAAGTCACTGAATATCCCTCTAAGAACAGTTTACTGAGTTATAAGGAAAGGGAAGGCACTTTGTACCACCCAGACACTTCCTAGATCAGGCTGTTTTTCAAACTAAGCAGCCATGCAAGAAGGAAATTGGTAAAGAATCTGAGGCCAACAACAACTTTGAAACATCTACTGAGTTCAATGGCTGTTACGGGAAAAAATGTGCCTCAATTAACAATATCCAGAACACTTCACAAAACTAGCCAGAACTGAAAGATGGCAAGACGGAAACCATTGCAAAAAATCTCAAAGCCCGATTGTGTCACGCCCTCTGCTGCCAGAGGGCGCTCCTATTCTGTCCTGTCCCTAGTTTCCTGCTTTGCTGTCCTTCCGGTCTGTCTCTTTCCCTGGGCTATATATTTCTGGGTCTTTCATTCACCTTCGCTCAGCATTGACGTTTGAATGTCCTGAAAACCGCCTAGCACCTGGTCGCCCTACGTCCGCTACCTGAGGGCATAGGTTTCTATACGGCATTCTCTGAATGGCTAACCCCCGTCTCGCCGCTACGCATAGGGTCTTTTCCCTCTCCTGTCATTCCATGGTTCGTCCTTTCCAACATTCGTGACAGATTGGAGTTTTCAACAAAAGCCTGAGTGATACCACAAAAATGTGACAAAAGATGTGGTCAGATGAGGCCAAATTAGAACTTCTTGGTTTAAATTCCAAGTTTTACTTTTAGCACAGACACAGCACCATCAAGTCACCAGCACATTTTTCAACATCAACACCATCCCTACATGCATTCTATGGGGATGTTTTTCCACAACAGGGACTGAAAAGCTTGCTAGAACAGAAGGAAAAATGGATGGAGCAAAGTCAGGCAAATACTGTTTCATTCTGCTAAAGACTTAAAACTGGGGTGACAATTAACCTTTCAGCTAGATCATGATCCAGAATAGTAGACCAAAGCTACACTAGAGCGGCTTAAGAATAAAAACGAATGTCCTTGAGTGGCTCAGTCAAATTCCTGACTAGAATTCTAAAAGTAATCCCCATGCAACTTGAGAGAGCTTGAGCAAATCTACCAATAACAATGGGCAAAGGTTGCAGAATGCTAGTTTGCAGAGACATTTATAGACTTGGAAAAGACTGACACAAAAAGACTTGTGGCTGTAATTAATCCCAAAGGTACTTTCATCAAATATTTTTATTTTCTATCCACAATAGTTTTTGCTCAGAATTACTATAACTTATCTTACCTTTAGAAGTCTTACATTTGAGCATTCAGATTTGAATAAATATTACGTTAAAAAGTATGTGTATCTTGTTTTAATTTCACAATAAGGCATACCACATGAAGTGTCTGAATACTTTTCTAAGGCACTGTAAGTAATGAGAGGCATAACAATACAAAAGATTGGGCCTTAAATCCCAATTGCAATCACAACTTTAGAAACTACAGTCCATGTCACCATGCCTGGGCATCAACAGTGGAGTGTTTATGCTATTTTGCTCATTTCAGCCTGTAGCTTAATGCATAACTAAAGATAAGCATATACCTAAAGATGGCAACTGGCAAAAAATAGACAACCTTTGTATTTAATAGTTGTGTTCTACCTTAACAGAAGATCACAGCTTTATATTTATATAATCCCAGATGTAAGCATTAATAAATTATGAGTCAAACAAACACAAAATATATTTTGAGTTGCAACATTATATAAGTGTTATCTTTTTATTAATCAACATCAGAAAAAAGCGGTAAAATATTTAACAACTACAAACTTTTTCCTGACTGGGACTCAGCAATGGAGCTTTCCTTGTTTTAACTGTTGCAGTGTCAGAAGAACTCTCTGAATATTGTCTGAGCTCTTCAAGATGGTAAGTTTTCTTAAAATATCCCTCATAATCTTACTTTTCTTTTAAATGTGCCCCAATTAACAAAAATGATACATTTTATAGTTTACTACACTTCATCTGCTGTTTTTAAAGCTCTTTGACATGATCCCTCTTGGAGCTGCAGAAAAAGACGCATGCGTTTGGGCACTTCATTACTGGAAGTGTTAGGATTGACCCAATTTATGGTGGCCTGGTTTGACAATGACATTATCCAATGCAATCTTGTCCCATCTCAGCAACATTCCTAAGAAGAAGCACCTCCAGTGTTTTATTTCCAGTTCAGGGCAAGTGAAATAGTATTACAGTCTTTCTTAACACTTCATTCTATGCAAAGTCATAACCACTGACAAGGTTGATTTGTTTTTCTTGTTAATTGTTCATGTCACTCTGTAAGTTGTGGCTTAAAATTTGCAGAGACAGAAGCAGTTACTCTCACATTAAACCACTCTGGTTACACACAGACACAATTACACTACTTATGTGACCTTTTGAGCTTTTCTTTTGCACTTGATGTTAGTTTGGGTTGCTGTAGCAAAGAGGATGAATACATATGCTACTGAGAGTATTTAAATTTTCTTTAAGAAATTAAGTTTCATAGGTTTAAACTACCTTATGTAAAATCTGAAGTCTTATTTCAGGGTTACATGCATGTACAAAGGCATCACAAGGGATGCCATGTTTTTTTTTATAAAGAAATAATATATGACAACTGTCTTAGTCACAAAATAACAGCAATATCCTTTGGGTTATTCAGAATGTACCATCGTGAGGCCAAATTTGAGTAAATTAAGTCAAGTAAAAAAAACTGTGCTATAAAAACTTTAATATATGTTCAGTAGAAGCGTAGAATAAACCAGTGGTTCCCAATTCTGTTCCTTGGTACCCAAGCACCTGTTGGTATTCGTTCCACCTGAGCACTCAAATAATTGAATTCTTGATTGACCTAATAATAGGTTTGTTTTCAGTTCCTGAACATTTAGGAGATAGACTTTGTACTACATTATTTTGTTTTTAAGTAACTTAAAGACACACTGAGTAGAAACAAAACTTGCAATGGTTCTAATCAAGCAACTGGTTGGTTCAATTAAGGATTCATTTAAGAAAGAGCTCAGTTGTAATGAAAACCAGCAGGATTGGGAATCCCTGGGGAAAACAAACAAGCCAGGTACAGCAGATTATTTTAATAATAGAGAAAGCAAGCCCTAATAGAATCACATTAGTGTATTCTACGGTCACAGTATTAAAGGCTTAATACTGTATAGCCATGTATGAAAGCTATGAAAGCTCATCTTTTGCTTTTGCAGTGGGCACTATATCTCTCAAATACCCCGGGGAAACTCAGGTGAACAGCAGAGTGACACCAATTGATTATTTGTAAAGCATGTAACAGTGGGTGAAAACAAACAAGGTAGAATTATAATAAAACACTAACAACAAAACTACAAGCCCAGAGATCTCAAAAACTAGAGAACTGGGTCAGAAGTTAACAACTCATAAGAAGCTGTTCAGTGTCTGCTGCCATTGTGCATAAGCTATTTCCACA